AAAAAAAAAAAAACCTCCAGGAAGCTGATTAACATTGAACAAGGTTTTCTGGGCAGCAACTGACACAATGAAGATGGAAAGAATATAGACACTGTGGAAGAAGAGCCCTACAGTTTATTGGGTAAAGTTCTTGAAACCATGGTTTAGGAGACACATGTTCACTGTGGCTGTTAATTATTTAATCTTCATGAGCTGAAGCACAGTAAAACTATGAATCAATACAGATAAAGTAAACTAATGACTCCGAATAACTCTTCAGCTATTATTTATTAACGGACATATCAACCAAGCTAACAAGAAGTCAAAATACCTGCTGCAGTAATTTCTTTATCCCGTTATAGTCATTGTCTGATATGGAATGTGCTTCGAATTCAATATTCACTTCCTACGAAGAAATGAAATAGAGAATATCAAACATACTTGGCAAGAAGCTATATCAAAACAAAGCTCAACTATAAGAAACTTGAAGACAAGTAATGGTCAACATCAGAAAAAGAACTTATTTCCACATTTCAGTAATCTCAACAGTCGTTACAGTTATAATTTCTTCTGTAACCTTTAGAGAGCATCTGTGAAAGTAACTTTTTAAAATTAACTTACAAATTGTGTGGTGAACAAACCTTTAATGCTTTGTTCCTGCAATCTGGCTCACACAATTACGTTTACTGTAACCACATATGCTGCTACTGTAGAGAGGCCTGATCCAGGCAGTTAAACTCTTAAAACTGCAGTATTGGAGCATAATGCCTTGGCTAAACATGAAGATTGCTACAGACATTTAAATAATTACATCCGAAACCATACTTCTGCTATTTCCTCGAATCCTAATGGTGTCGTTAACCCCACTATGGAAGTGCTCAGTAGGCACATGATGAGACCTGGTCACAGCAAAAAACGAATGCGAACTCCTACTTCTCCTTCCAGAACAAATGCTGTGTGCCTAGCAAGTGTTTTTACTGGTATTCCATATTAATAGTACTGCCTGCCAAGGTTGCCTTGCCTACCTATTCGTCTGTGAACCACTGTTCAAGATCATCCAAATTAACTTTGCCTTTTAATTGTCAATTTGGATTCCGCTTTCTGAACACTCTAAACAACTCAGCCCTACTTTTGTCAGCAATTAAGACTCATAACTCTCTCCAATCCCATATTGAGGTCATGGTCTTTATTGTCCACTGGGAGAACAGCCTTAAAGGCCTGTTTACGATGTAGAAAACTGGTACACAACCACTTGGAGGGGTTAATAAAAATCAGGAGACGTGCTCAGATATTCTTCTATGGTCTAGTAAAGCAAGGAAGCTCTATAGAGGTAACTGAGAGCACACTATTTACTCGAGAAGCTACCTATATAAGAAAACAGATTGTATCTTTGGTGTATACAGCGTTCATTCCTGGCATCCAGGAACTTTTTGACTGCTTTAAAATTCAAGGATCTTGCTGAATGATTAAGCCAGTAAATTCTGAACAACACACAGTTTACAGTGGTTCTGAATGTTGTGCAAATCACAGCCATAAAATTGATATAAACCACAGGAGCACTAGATGTTCTAACACTCGTTTTGCTTCACGGCCTTTCCACTACCCAAAATTACAGCCTGGTATGAGAGAGTTTACAAACCCTCCATCTTTCATCTATTCAAAAAAAAAAAAAAAACGAAAACAACCAAAAAACAAAACCCCACAAATAAAGACTCATCATATAGTTTGGTGTGCCCTGTCTTGTTACTGTGCACTTATTCTTTTCCCCTCGCATTGCATCCAAAGCAAAGCAAGAGCCCACAGAGCACGCTGTTAGGCGCAACACTACTCTGCTACGTCCAATACAGCAGTGAGCAAAGCTCCGTCTTGGCACCCAGGCCCCATTTGGCGATCATGTTGTTGTTCTCAGATTGACAGAACTAACACACGCTCCTTTGCATCAAGAAAATTTCTGCATAAAGGAAGAGATTGTCCTTTTTTTCTACCTCAAGTGGAAAGAGGTGGAGGGAAAGGCTAGTAGGGCAAAACCAAAAATGCTGAGAATTACAGAGAAACAAATACCCTTTAAGCACATGACTGTACAAATTTCTAAGTTTGTACACTTCCAAATGTTCAGTACATGTCTTTAATATTAGCGATGCACACCTTGACGTCGTATACAAGAATTGAGGGAAACTCAATGTATCTTTGTATCAAGACTTCCAAACTGAAACAGATGGAATAGTGATAGATCATCCTCAAAAGGTGGACTAGTAAATTAAAATAAGCGTTATAGTGCAAATTTTATCTGGTGCACTAACAATTGCAAATAAAACACAGTAGTGCACAGCAGAGCAGGACGCACAGAAACCATCCTCAAAACCCCTGTCACCGAAGACTCAAGAAACTTTGTCCACAAACACAATAAAAACCACTGTCCTACCTATCCTACATTATACAGGAATGCTGAGCACTTTTTAAAAAAAGAAAAAAAAAGGATTATTGCCCTTAGCTTTAATTTCATGTGTCTAGACACTAGTGCAACACCTCAGTTTAAGAATACTAACAGTACACAAAATACTAGCAGTGCTGTTCAAGAACTTCATAAACGTATGCGAGGTCAAGCTAAGTCGGCACCAATTCACCATGTGTGCCACGTTAAATGTGCTTTTCCATCAGGTTAGTATGACTGATGACACAGGTAAACCTACACTTTTTATCGTGACACAGTTTTTTTAAAAAAGGTGCTTTTTTAATTTGCTAACAAGCTAACGGAGGCCTCATCTAAGAAAGGAAGATAATTAGCTCAAAGTGAAACTCGGTGAAGACAATGAAGTAGCCAAATATTTAATTTGAAACGTACCAAGTCAAAACCCATGGATAGTTTTTACTCTTTTCAGCCCTGTTAAAATGACAGATGGACTTATCATTCTAAGATTTCAAAAAGACTTCAAAGTCAGCACGTATCTCTTCCTTTCCTAGAAAGGGGTACACCCCCCAGTCCTGTGTTTCACAGCCAAATGTATTTTCATCTATGGCCAGGTGCAGCTATATACACAGAGCTCAGAAAAGAAATTTAAATCCTGTGAGGTCTGCTGTTTTCCCTCTTCTCCCCCTCCTCTTTCTTACACAAAAAAAGGAAATTAAAGCGAATCTTCTGTGCTGAAAGCGTTACTCTCAAGTCCCACACAAGAACGGCGGTGGACAGGCTACATGCAAGGGCCAAGCCTGCACAACTGACCGCAGCCTCGGGGATTCCACCATTAAAAAACCCCGAAGAAAACAAAAAAAATATGACCGTCGACAACAGCTGAGGACCCTTCGCATCACCGATTACCGACATACACTAACAGGTCACCTACGCCTGACCACAGGAACCACGGCCCCAGGCCGGGCCCCGACCCGCGGGCGCCTCGCAAGGGGCGTCTCAGGGCCACCACCCCCCCTCCCAGCAGCTCCCAGCCGCGGCGTATTTCTGTCGGGTTTGCAACCG